AGTGCAGCCGGGCTTTGAGGCACAGAAGGTGAGTTCCTGGCTCAGGTTCCCAGAGTCCAGCTGGAAAAAAATTGGGGCAGGATTGGGGGACTCAGGCCCAGCCTGGCACTGGGGGGGGGGTCTGTGGGTTGGAGCGGTGCCCCTGGGCCTTGGCCATTACAGCCCACCAAGAAGTCCCTGAAGGTGGCAGGGCAGTGGCTGGAGAAGCAAAGCACTTGGGTCCTGGTGGGGACAGTGTCCACCCTAGGAAGTTCATGGCCAGCCCTGGGGATGGGGATGATGTGGGGTCAGCTGGCTCAACCCAGAACTAGACAGGGAAGGGCCAGTAAGGGGAGGAGCTAAGGGACAGGGGATCCTGTGGGCTGGTAGGGTGGAGGCACGTACCCCCATGAAGAAGGAGGGAAGGAAGGAAGGGAGGGAGGGAGGGAAGCTCACCCCACACCTGGCACCTCAGGTGGACACTAGGCAGTATAGAGGGAGGGGATGATTGCCCACACAGCCCCAGGGAGGGGCACGGAGTGGAGAGCAGACAGAGCCTTGGGTGCCACATGGTGGGGACTAGCTGGCCTCACGCACCTACAGGTGGAGGGACGCTGGTTCACCCTCCGGCTGGCGGCCAGCCACGCAGACCTGGTGTCTCCAACTGACCCACTGAAGGTCTCTCTCCACTCCATCCATGCCAGGGATGGTGGGGACATGGAGTTCCTGCTGTTTTGGAAGTAAGTGTGGGCCTGGCCACTCCCCCCAGCACACGGGCACTGGTTCTCAGACCTGGGGGAGAGTGACAGTTGAAAGAGCCATGGAGACACATAGCACCAAGCTGGGGCCTGACCCCACCCTGAGAGCTGGAGAGTCTGAGGCTTCTAGGGGTGGGGCTGGTAGGAAAGACACACACAGCCCAGCCACAGGGGCTGTGGCCAGTCCCTGCAGAGGTGCCCACTGGGGATGGGGACCTCTGTAGCCATAGCTTTCAGTGGCAAAGTGAGCCCTGGGCCTGGCATTTTAATGTGTGACCTCTGGTGTTGAAGAGTTGCCCACTTGTTCCCAGCAAATGATGCTGGGCCTACTAGCTGCTTAGCACAGCACCCCTCTCTGCCTGCGGACCAGCCCACTGAGCTGTGACACTGTTGACCCATATCCTGGCAGAGGCTTAGTCATAGACACCCTCGGTGCACTGTGGAATCCCAGAGGTCTTTTGGCACAGAGCTCTTCACCCCAGATGAGAGACTGAGACCTGTTCCTTCCAGGAGGTTTGGCTTCATCCCATAGATAGGGAAGACCTTGCTTCCCCACTGCTGCCAAGGGGCCCTCCAGCCCCGTCCCCACACCCTGTGGACACTCTTTCTCCTGATGTATGGCCATGGTGTGTGTGCCAGTCAGAGGCCATCCTGAGCCTGGGGAGCTGAGAGCCTCAGGGAGGCTGCCAGGACCCTGTATAGAGGCGATTGCCCTGGTGGAGAGCCCTGTGCTGGCCACAGTGACCTGCATAGGGTAATGGGGACAGTAAGAGGGGCAGGCCTGAATCCCCTTCCTTTGTCCCAGAGGAGAGGGTATGTGTGGACGAGAAAACATCACTGTGCACGCCACTGAGCTGCAAGGCCAGTACCACGGCTCCTGTGAGTATCACTTCCAGTGGGAGGCAAGGGCACAGTCCTGGCCATGATGGGGGGAATGGAGGGATCTCGCAGTCCTCTTGGTGGCATCGTGCTTTCCACTGGGGACCCGGGGCCCTAGGATGGAGGAGGGAGGTGTCACTCATCACCAGCTGGGGTCTCCCACAGCCGAGGTGGGCAGCATGGACGCCTGTTTTGTCAGCACCGACTATAGAAACCTTATTCTCTACGTGCGCTTTGAGGATGGGCAGGTGACCAGCCTGTGGGCGCTGCTGGGTAGGTGGCTGATGTCCCTCAGCACTGACCAGAGTGGCACCTGGTCCCCAGATGGGAGGGAGGGACCACTGAGCTTGCTTTCAGGGAGGGGGGTGCAGGGGAGGGAGTGCAGATACCGAGGGGCTGCCACAGCCTAAGTGCTAGGCAGGGGAGCACTGGGGGACAGGGGCAGCTCAAGTAGGGGCCCAGCGCAGCTGAGAAGGGTGGGGTGGGACCTGGTGCCAAGTGTGGGGCCCTCTGGGTGTCCTCCAAGGTGGACCTGGCCTGACTCACTGCTTCAAGGGGCATGTCCCCTGCTGCAGTCAGCCTCCTGGGGCTTACCTCGGGGAAGGGGCCAAGGCTCCCTGGGCCTCGGTCCCTCACCACCATCTCTATGATCTCAGGGCGTAGAGTGATTGAGAACCCCCAGTGGCTGGGGAAATATCTCGGGTATGTGGAGAGATTCCACCTGCAGGAGGCACCTGTCTTCAACACCAACGGTAAGTGCCACTAGGGGCTGCAAGGAGGGCCCTGGGCCTGGACTCGCTGGTCTGCAGGCCCAGAGTGATGATAGTCACAGACCAGCACCATCAAGGACTCTGTCTGTGCTGGGCGGTCTGCCTGCCTGGCCTTGAGTAGTCCAAGTGACCCAGTGATGTGGGCCCAGTGCTGTCTCCCTGCACAGATGTGACTCAGAAACATGCAGTGACGAGGCAAAAGTCACATAGCCAGGAGGAGGAGGGTGAGGAGGAGCTGGAAGTGGCTCAGATCTCCTGGGTCCTGAGCCAAGTGCCCCACCAGTCTCTCCCCTGTGCCACCTCTCTGTGCATCGTTCAGTTGATCAACAAACACACTGGCCAGGCCTGTTCTGGGAGTTTGCAATGTGCTTAGACCTAGATAGACATTTTCCATCCTTGTGCAGGTTATGTAGTGGCAAGCATTATAACAACGTGATTTGTCAGAAACAAGGGCTCAGGGGTTGGGGAGGAGACCCAGAGCAGGGTTTGGGGAGTGTGGCCAGAGTGTGAGTGTGGGAACAGCCAGGGTAGACAGCCCGAGGGAAAATGGGGAGGAAGCCCCAGGTTGCCTGGGTCTTGCAGCTGGAATGGTGGCTGGAGCAGAGGGGCACAGGGGCAAGATCCAAGGGTAGGTGGGGCTGTGTGGGGCCTAGGGACCCCTCAAGGACTGGCAGGACACAGCCTCCATGAGGGGCTGGACAGCAGGACTAAGGTGATCCCAGTGAGAGACTCTTCTGTCTTGTGTGATTGATGATTGTTTGGTTTTAAAATGAATGAAGACTCACAATGGTTTCCTCTTCCCTCCGCAGGCCAATGCCCCCCACCCCAAGCCTAGGTCCAGCCCCTTCCTGTACCCTCCTGCCTGGCCTTGGCCCTTATATTGCCCTTGGCTTCTCTCCCCCTTCACCTTGGCCTATGGCTGGGACTCATCCTGAGGGCCAGAGAAAGCCCCAGCCTACAGCTCCTGCCTCTGTTTTTGTCTCTCTCCCCTGCAGGGAAGGGCTCCTCCCTCTCCCTGGCTCACCAAGTCCTCCACCAGCAGGCAAGGGATTGGCACATTTCCCAGCCTGGACCCTGGGCTTGAAGAAGATGGGGAGGTGGTGGTGAGGAGGGGTCACATGGCCCCCAAGCTCCTAGCCCACATGTCTAGGCTTCCCCCAAATGGAGACGAGTGCTGCAGCAAGAGCTGATGGAGACCCGTGTCCTTCAGGACACTGCTGCCAGGTGAACAAGGGCTGGTGCACCTGTCCACAGGTGAGCCACACAGGTCAATGCCCACTCCTCAGAGCCAAGAGCCCTTCGGATGGTCCTCACTTCTGCTCCTGACGGGGCAGGGGCCACCCTCTGGTGTGGCAGGCTCTGAGGAGTCTGGGCTGGAGCCCTTAACACCCCCTATCTGGAAATGCATGAGACAGGCATGGCTGGTGCCTGCCCTGGAAACCCCTGGCAAAGCCACACTTCAGCACGGTCTTCTCCTCTGCCTCAATCAGCTACGTGAAATAAACAGTTGGAATTAAACTCAAAGGCTGCCCTTAACATGACACTCAGCTGACGCCAGCAGCTCCTGCATTCTGCCCGTGATCTGGCCCGACCAGGAAAACATGGGGAAAAACCAGAATTGCTAAGTGCGTGTCATACACTGAACAGACACACTGTGGGTGAAGATAGTGAAAAATATCCTTGTCCCAGAGCACTAAAAAAAGGACTTGCGTAAAGAGGGACGTGGTATTTCTTCATATTTCTCGACAGCATAAAGATTTAGTAAACTTCAAATTAATCTACATATCTGCAGACCTTCAATCAATATTTTAAGGGATTTTTCCCCAAACTGAAAACCTGAATCTAAAATTTACATGAAAGCATGAAATAATTTTGAAATGTTTTAAAAAGAAGACTAATTTGAATGGTCCTAAATTGTCCTAATATAAAGCCACAGTGATGAGACCCGTGTGGCTTTAGGTCAGGGGCAGAAGGGTCAGTGAAACGAAGCCTAAGTGTCTAACACTCAACACAGCACTGTGGCTGTCCTAAAAAGCGTGACTTATTCGATAAAAATAGAGTTGAAGGAAATGAATGACAAATGGGGAAAATATCTCACCGCACGTGTTATCTTAACACTAATTTCCAGCTCTGAGTAGAGTAATGTTGAAAATTCTGTGATTTCCATAACTGGGGAGTGGGACAGTAAAAGTAAGAAGAGTCTTTTGTTGAGTCTCTCTGGTTCATCTGTGTTGCGTCACTTACTGAACAGGCTCCATCACAAGCCTCATCAACCCCAGCACTGAAAAACAGGCTACATATTTGAGGAAGGAGCTAATGTTTATTTTTTTCCTTTACATGTAATACATTTCCATTTTGTGAATATACTTTTTTTCCTGGAATAGAGTCTTTCTACACTTAAGAAAATTAATTCTATTTCCAAAGGATTTCCAAGCTGCCTATACTACAAAATGGCATTGCTCTTGTGCATTTTGGGTGTGCCGTCTCATCCTTTGATTGGATCGTTCACAATGGCAAGAGGAAAAATTTCTTCTGGAAGGGTGTGAATTTTTATGCCTCTAAAAAGTGGAAAGTTACAAGGCATCCTATATTTATAAAGAATTGCTTTGATTCACTAATAGTTCATAAACCTAAGGAAATCATTAGATTTCCTCTTAGGATGATGTACCACCCTAACGGACCGAATCTCTGCAGGGGGGTAGAAGGCAGCATCCCAGTTGTATTCTGGCGATAACACCTTGGTGGGTTTGTTGATGAAAAAGTATTTGTTCAGGTACCTTTCATAAGTGCTGTTAAGCCCCTTCTCGATGTCGAGAATGATTCTGTTGAGACAGTCCTCGATGAGGCTCAGGATCATGTTGGGGGTGCCGCCAATCACAGACCCATCATAGTAGAAGTCCCCCTGCCCTAATGGTATGTAAGCAGCTGAGTTTGGCCTCCTCTCGTAAGGTAAATTGTTGGTATTTCTAAAATACCACCATGTGTGGAGCTGAGCCACAGACGTGCCCAGGGTCTCCACCCCAAACTCGCTCTGGAAGACCTGGTTGACTGTCATGCTGAAGAGAAAGTCCACCTCACCCTCAATGTGGCTCACGATGTACTCCCCCAGACCCTTCATCTGCATCAGGCGCACGTTGTACCACCAGCCGTCCTTGCTTATCGGGAGCACTCTGAGTGTTCGCAGAGGGCCCAGCTGTATTTCCGGCACCTTGAAGAAGATGTCTGCTATGATATAGAAGATGACTCTGTACCCGGACATGAAGTACAGGTTTGCCGACTTCAAGAATATCTTCAGGTACTGGTGTGCAGGCCTGGGACACACATGGAGGAAGGGACTTATTCTCCTGCACTTCCTCAGGAGAAGGGATGCCATCAGACACTGCCCAACACCCAACACAGGTGTTGCTGGTGTTGAAGGGTCCCCACAGCAAGGGCAGAGAAGTTGTGTCTGTGGTGAGTTCAGCTGAATTGGTGGGTGCAAGAAAAGGGAATGAGAGCCAAAGGGACATTAGCCAGGACATTCCCAAGTGGCATGGAGGACCTGGCCACAGCAGGGGAAACAACCACTATACACATTTTGTACAAGACACCCAGAAAAAATAGTTAGCATCAATAATGGCAAGTTCTTTGGAGGCAGATGGCCCATGCATGTTTTTCCTTGCTTTTCCTAAATAAAACAGGGCAAAGGTTAGTGGCACCTACCCGCTAGGAGCAAAGACAGCAAGGCCCACTGTGATGTTCTGTCTGCTGTAGTAGTTCTCCAGGGCCTGCCTGTCAAAAGTCCCATCCCATATGACTGGAGCAAGCCAGTCCGTCATCGTCACGACATCAAGGCGGTTTCTGCAGAACAAACAAGAAATGGGTCACTAAGGTGGTGGCAGGCACACTAGAGGGTCACTGTTGCTTAGCAGCACCCACCATGTGCCAGGCTCCATGTCGGTGTGAATAGGTCACTCATTCTGTCCCCTCGATGCCCAGGTGAGCCCAGGCACCACCTTTCCTGAGCTTTAATGCAGCTCAAAACTAGGCTTCACAGAGTCAGAAGTTCCCCAGGAGCCCGGAAGGCAGTAGGGAGGCGGGACAGGGATTCCTCCCTCCCTTTGCATCCCCTTTCCTCTCCCTCCTCTCACTGCCCTTTTCTTAGACACTTCTCAGGATGCCATTTCACATTCCCCTTCACACTTTAAGCCCATCAATGCAACACAGTAGAAATGGGAAGACGAGACCAGAAAGGGAGAGAGACACTTGCTTTCAGTAGTAATGAAACTACCACAGGATTCACATTATGTAAGACCAGTTTAATATTTGAAACTAACTGAAACCACCACATCAAAAGCTAAAAACAGTCACACATCCCTGTCTATGAACACAGAAAAACTATACAAAGTCCAATGCACAATTCATGATAAAATCTCTCAGGAAAAACTAGAAATAGAGGGGAATTACTTCAACTTGGTTAAGAGTGTCTGCACAAATCCCACAGTCAACATGCTGGGTGGAGCAAGACAGATGTGTTCACCTGTGATCAGGAGCATGGCAAGTTCTAACACCACGACAGAAGGGCTGGCTCTTGCAACAAGGCCAGAAAATGGAATAAAAGGCCTCAGGTGGAAAGGAAATGATCACACTGTCCCTGTTTGCAGATTACTTGATTGTCTACACAGAAAATCCTAAGGAAGCTAAAAAAAGAAAAATCTGGAACTAAAAGTGAATTCAGTAAGGGTACACGATGAACACATGAAAAACTAGTCTCCTGGCAGCATCTGTAGCTCAGGGGATAGGGTGTCAGCCACATACACCAAGGCTGGAGGGTTCAAACCTGGCCTGGGCCTGCTGAAACAACAATGACATCTGCAACAACAACAACAAAATAGCCGGGTGTCATGGTGGGTGCCTGAAATCCCAGCTACTCAGGAGGCTGAGGCAAGAGAATCACTTAAGCCCAAGAGTTTGAGGATGCTGTGAGCTGTAACACCACGGCACTCTATGAGGGAGACATAGTGAGACTCTGTCTCAAAAAACAAACAAGCAAACAAACAAAACAAAACAAAACTAGTCTCCTTTCTATATGCTAAATGTGAAAATGCAGTAAGTATTATTAAAAACAAATGCTATTCACAGTTGCTCCAAAGAAAATGAAATACTTCTTCACTATACTGTACAGAACAGTGGTTACTCCCCATCCTCTCCTCCCTGCACTTCGTGGCAAGAACTAATCTACTTTCTGTCTCTGTAGATTGGCTTGTTCTGGAAATATGTTTGATAATATTGTATGGCCATACCACATTCCACTTAACCACTCATCAGCTGATGGATAATTGAGTTATATACACTTTGACCATTATGAATAACGTGACAATGAACACTCATATACAAGTTTTTCTGTGAACATAAGGGTTTTGATTTTTCTGGGTATATGCCTAGAGGTGGAATTGAAGGTGATGTATTGAAGTCTCCAACTATTATTGTTGAATCGTCTATTTCTCCTTTCAATTCTGTTAGTTTTTGCTTGATTTTAGGACTCTGTTGCTAGGTGCAAATGTTCATAATCATTGTAGCTTATTGATAAATTAATGATTTTATTATTACAAAATGTCCTATTTGTCTCTAGCAACAATTTTTATCTTTGTCTATTTTACCTGATGTTAGCATGGCCACTCCAGCTTATGGTTACTGTTTGCATGACATACATTTTTCAAGCCTTTTAGTTAAACCTATTTATGCCTTTGAATTTAGGATGTCTTGTCTAGACAGCATATATACAGTTGGATAATGTTTTTACTCATTCTAACAATATCTGCCTTTTAAGTGGCATGTTCTACACATTTACAAAGTATATTGATATGGTCATTTTGTTATTTGCCTTTTATATCATGTGTTTTTTGTTCTTCTATTCCTCCATTAATGACTTCTATTGTGTTAAATGGGTATTTTTCTTTTCTTTTTTTTTTTTTTTT